CTCACGCCATGGCCTCCTCCCTGCGGCTGCGCTGGCGCCGTCATGGCCTCCCGCGCCCGGTGTGCCCTCGCGCATGTGCGCCCGAGCCCTGCCTCGCTCTGCCGCGGCGCTGCTCGCTCGCGCTGCGCCGCCCGCGCGCCGCCCTGCTCCCCTTCCTCCCGAGCCTGCTGCTGATGCTGCTTGCTGCCACTTCTGCCCTTGCCGCTGCGCGCCACTGCCGCCTCGCCTCCACGCGCTGCAGACCCTGTCGGCCGCGCCCTACGCCTGACCATCTCCCGAGCGCCCCCTTTGCTCTGCTGCTCCTGCTGCCTTGTGCGCCCGCGCCCCCTGCGCCGCACGAGACCGCCGCCAACTGTTGCTGCCCTTCCCCATCCCCGCCGCAGCTACCATCTTCGCCCCATGTCGCCTCCCCCTGCGGTTGCCGTCGGCACCACCGCCGCAGCCACCTCGCTCGTCTCCGCCTCTGGCTCCCGCCGCTCCGGCCACTCGCCGTGGCCTCGCCACTTCCGCCGGAGGCGGACAACCCTTGTCTCTGCGGGCGGGCGTCCTGGAGCCCCGCACCCGATCCACCACCAGCGCCCGTTTGACCTTATGGGCCACTCCCCAGTGGGCCTCCCCCACCCACGCTCCTGTTAAAAAAAGGAGAATAAAAAAACATAATAAAAATATTAATTAATTAATTAGTTAACTTAATTAGATCTGTTAAATTAACCTAATCACTTATTAACTACTAACTAATCATCTTTAGTTAACCTAAGTCAATGACAACCGGGACCCACGCGTCAGTTTGACCAAGTCAACTGACTGTTGACTGCTGACATCACCCTGATGTCATGCTGACATCATAATGGCATTTCCAAATTAATTTAATTCTGTTAATTTCAAAAATGATTTAAAACTTTGGAAATTCATATAAAATAATCCGTAACTCGGATGAAAAAACTTTGTACATGAAAGTTGCTCAGAACGACGAGACGAATCCGGATACGCAGCCCGTTCATCCACCACGCATCCTTAGCATAGCGAACATGCAACTTCCCCCCTCTGGTTCATCTGTCCGAAAACACGAAACACCGAGAATACTTTCCCGGATGTTTTCCCCCTTCACCGGTACCACCTCGTACCGCGTTAAGGCACACCTAGCATCACGCTTTGTCATGACATGCATCGTCATGCATTTGTTTGCATTATATTTATTGTTTCTTCCTCCTCTTCTCTCGCTAGACATCGAGACCGACGCCGCTACTACCCGGTACGACTACGGTGTTGACGACCCCTCTCTCTTGCCAGAACAACCAGGTAAGCCCCTCCTTTGATCACCAGATATCGCCTACTCTTCTCTCTACTGCTTGCATTAGAGTAGTGTAGTATGTTACTGCTTTCCGATTAATCCTATTCTGATGCATAGCCTGTCATTGTTGCTACAACTGTTGATACCTTACCTGCAATCCTAAATGCTTAGTATAGCATGCTAGTTTATCATCAGTGGCCCTACACTCTTGTCCGTCTGCCATGCTATACTACTGGGCCGTGATCACTTCGGGAGGTGATCACAGGCATATACTATATACTTTATACTGTTACATTACTCATGATACTGTTGGGAGATGGGGGTTGAAGGGGCAGGTGGCTCCATCCCAGTAGAGGTGGGCCTGGGTTCCCGACGGCCCCCGACTGCTACTTTGTGGCGGAGCGACAGGGCAGGTTGAGACCACCTAGGAGAGAGGTGGGCCTGGCCCTGGTCGGCGTTCGCGGATACTTAACACGTTTAACGAGATCTTGGTATTTGATCTGAGTCTGGCCACTGGCTTATACGCACTAACCATCTACGCGGGGACAGTTA